CGGTCCTGCCCCTCCACTCCGACTATCCCCACCATCACCACAACGGCGGCGACCTACAATTTAGGGCGAGTAAGTGCTTTTCGCAGCACGTGGAGGCAGTCGTCGTGGTTTCAGCCGACCCGCGGTACAAGCATGACAAAGAGCGCCGACAGACGGAGATGTAGATATCTCCGGTCTATAGGGACGCGTCCGTATCCTATACACACGCGTATGTGACGCCATAGCATGTTATGATAAATTAATCATGAATTCGTTATCATACGGTCGAATAATCAAAATATGAACTACTTCTGAATTTTTATTTTTTTTAGTATTTACGTCAAATTATTTTATGAATTAAGTTGAATTTGAAATATATATGGTAATATTTAAATAAAAATTTAATGTTTTATAATTATAACAAATTTACATCAAAAATACAAAAATTATGTAAAAAATAAACAAACAGTAATAAAAAATATCATAGTATCTTCATTTCATTTTAATGTATATATTAGTACATATATATTAAAATGTTAATGTTAATTTGAAATATTATGTTATACAAATTAAATATTAACATAATATGACAAATATTGAAAAAAATGAAATCTTTAATTTTCAATGTTTATACAGATGCATTGTTAAAAATATAAGGAATCGAATATTTCAATAAAAATAAAAAAAATTCTGTGAATACAAAAATATTGACATATTGAAAGAAAATGATTATTAACGATGAAAAAAAAAAACTTGCATGAATATATGCATGTATATATGAATGAATAATGGCTGTCATCTAAAACTGTGTGGAATTCAATTGTATTAGTGATACAAATGTATTAGTGAATTCATGATCGTATATACTTTCTCTTTCTTTTTTGCAGCTTTCATCACTAGTCTAAATATCCTTGTTTGACTATCATTACTTTTATTGTTTCAAAAGTAATTTTATATTATTATTTTATTTCTTTATTATCATAATATGTAAACTATACTATACTATAAACTATACGATATATTGTTTGTGTTTTTCTCAAAAAAATAATAAAAAAAGTCTATAGTAATTAATAATATAAAAACATTAAAAAATAATATTATTTTTTATATCTAATAATACATATTAGGTAATTAATTCTGGACAATTTCATTCGATTTCGTGATGATCATGCCTCGGACAAGTGTCGTGCGCTATAACGATATTACTTTCCAACAGAGGAGAGCAATGACCCACTGCGCGCGGTGCACGTGTGCCGAGTGGAAACCGCGACGACTGCCTCTGGACAGGGCATTGGACGCCGCGTGCGGCAGCAAGAACGACGACTGTACTATATTCTTTGCTTCTTATGTAGTGGTGCTTTTGAGTCTGTAGCAATGTGTAGGTGATAGCAGTGACGGTAGCAACGGCATTGATTGTCGCATCTAACGATGTTGGAACTTTACAGAATTTTTTTTAAATATTTTAACTTTTTCTTGTATTAATTTTATAATAAATAATTATTGAAATTGGAAATTAAAAAATCTTTTAAAAAATTTCTTAAGTTGATTTTGAAAAAAATCATAATTTTCTTAATAAAATTTAAAATAAAATAAAATTGAAATTTTTAAAATATACATTGATTTATTTAGCTTTTTTTTTTAGTTTTAGTTTATTTTAGTTTTGAATTATCTTAATGTATAATTGTATTTTAATTTTTGAAAATATTTGTAATCATGTTCTGACAACAATCGATACATGTTCGTTGATCCCGATATTGGACAATATACTTTTAAATTTGATTTTATCGTATGAAATTCAACACTTGAAAAATATTTATTATTTTTAAATTTGGAAAAATAGAATTTTTAACCCTGACAAACCATTCAAACATTTTTAATATGAAATATTTCATTTTTTATCATATGGTATTAGATTAACTTTATCATTGATAATTTTTATAGATATTATTGTATTGTAAAAAATATTTTTAAAATATATTTTCGGAATTGTAATTAACATAATAACTGTCAAATGATATTTTGCAATCATTATTGCGCATTCATATTTCTATTACAAACAAAGATAACAATAGACATGTTAAAATATTACATAATACGTTAATTAATGATAATTTTAAAGCGCATTCGAAGGATAAAATACGTTGACGTTGTAACACGTGAATGTAGATAAGATTACTATTTAAAATGTTAATCATTATATACTATATAATAGTATATATTACATTTTTTTTTATTATAATGCATTTTTCTTTCTTTCAAATATTTAATTAGATAATACTATAGATATTAATTAGATAATATATAGATAATACTATTGAAATTTTGCTTCATTAATATATTTAAGTTTAATGTATTTTATTTTTGACAACATTAACAATAATAATCTATATAAATAATAATACAAATATTAAACAGATTATTAATAAATATGTATGCATATTTGATGAATAATCATTTGACATAGAATCAATAAAAATTTATAAAAATATAAGGTGCTATTTATACAATATACGGTCCTGTAAAGACACGTGGGTCAACACGACTTACGTGGCTCAAAACACACGCAGTGTCGGGGTCGTGGCGAGATCGACAAGGGTTCCGAGCATCGAAGGTAGAAGAGGTCGAATGATAGGTAGTGGTAGGGGTATGGACCAGCTACGAAACTCGAGAGCGGGGAGGAGAGAATAGTGGGGTTAGGGTCGAGGTAGCAATCAACTCTAGAGCGATGTCGTACCTTGACCAATCTTAACGCGACTTGTTTTAAGCTATGCCAGTAGCGACCTTAGAAATGACTCGCGATTGTGTAAAATCAAAATAGCAAAGAAAAGAAAAAATATAATCTAATTCATTTTTATCAATTTTTATCAATCAATTGTATTCTTCCAGAAACTTACAAGTTGAAAAATTATGATAAATGAAAAATTGGTTTTAATATTATTCAATGTGGACTAAAAATGATTATTGATGAAATTGATTGAATATTAATATTTTTTTTATTAATCAATAACAATAAAATAATATACTATGTATCAGCATATTATTATCCTTAACTAAAGTTTTTTATATTTTATTTATGTATTATCTATTATTATGTATATTTTATCTATGTATTATCTATTATTATGTATATTTTATCTATTATTTTATCTATGTACATTTAATTTTTTTAATAGCTAATTTTATTTTATTTTGAAAAATTATTTTATTTTAAAAAATAATTGCAAAAAAATTACTTTTTTATTGATTATTATATTTATAATATTATTTATTTATTTTATAAAATATTTAATATATTTATTTAATATAATATATATATGATATGATAGATTTAATGTTATTTTATGATAAATTTAATTCAATTGATTGATTGTAATTAATTTTTAAATATTTATTGTTTACATAGACGCATTTAAATATATATAGAATCATTATTTGTATTAATGATTAATACATTTTTTTCAATCTTTATGAACATTATATTTGTTATATTTATATTTGTTATGTTTATTATATTTGTTATAAATAATTATTACAAAAAGAAAAATCAATTTTTATAATCTACCGAATAAAAATATGTATCAAATATACATTAAGTGTTTAATCAAAACATTTTGTTTATTTTACTGTAATATAAAATTGTTTATGAAAATTAATTTACTTTGTATTCCTTTTATTTTTTAATAATTAATTATTCAATACACAATTATTTAATAATATAATTATTTTACACATATTGCGTATATGTAAAGAAAGAAATAAAATATTAAAGAAGGTCATACCAGCGTTAAGTAGAAAGTGGAAAGCATTTCTAAGGTCAATGACTTCATACCACGTGTAATAATGTATGCCACCAACTGCACTACAAAGTATATTATATTTCAAGGTCATATGAATACCAACATGATAGTTGGTATTGTTTAGCTTTCTCTTCCGTATCTCTTTTCAATGTTACATAATTCAAAAATTACATACATACATACATACATACATATATATATATATATATATATATACATACAAAATTACATACATATATATTGATTTTATAATAATAAAATTTAATATATTACGAATTGATTTATAATTAATAAAAATTACTTTTATAAATTTTTATATCTCTGATATCTCTCTAATTATATAAATATAATATACTAATAATATACTATTATATATACATACAAAATAATTACGTTAAAAATTTGATTACATTAAAATGATAGATAAATTTTATATTATATATCGTTTATGAATTAACATAACAATCAATAAACGTAATTTATTAATTAATAATTACTATTATGTTAATAAATATAATATTATCTAAACAAATTTTAAAAAAATATATAAATTAAATTATGAAAATGATGATTTTCTTATATTTATTGAATTTATTATATTTTTATTTATTTTTATTAGATTTTTGAAATAATTAAATACAAGAATTTATAAAAGAACTTATTTTCTATTAAAAATTAAATAAAATACTTATCTATATTTATTTCTTGTCTTATAGTAACATTGTTTATTATAACATTATTATAAATTATTATAAAATATCTATAATTAATTGAATTCATATTGTTTTTAATAAGTTATAGTTCAAATATCGCTTTTATACAAATATTTTAATTAGAATTTTAAATAGTTACACAGTATATAGTTTTCACTATAATTTCTGCTCTCAGCATAATAAATCGAATTACTAGAAATTCCTAGTTTTGAACTCTCACAATTTTATAAAATTTGTGTTATAATAACATATATATATCATAATAAATTATATAAACACTAATTATTATAGAATTATTTTCTAGGATAAAAATTTTTTTTTTAATTAAAAATTAATTTTTTTTATTTATAAGATAATTACATTTAGTATAAATATTAATTATTTGATATTAATGATTAGATATTAATGAAATTTAAAAAATATAAATAACTTGCAATTTATTAATTTAAATTTTATATATATATATATATATATATATAATAATAATAATACAATTTAAACATATGATCTATTGTTTTATATTCTCTGATTTTACTGAACAAATATAGTATAAGACGGACATAACCGACATTATAATTTAGAAATCTATATTCAGATTTACAATAATACAAGTTTCACTATAGAAATGTAACAAATTTGAAGATGGAAAATAATAAATCGTCATTAACTAATCCTTGGATACATTATCTACTG